GAGCTATGCAGTGTCAGCACATCAACTGAGTTACCATATCGGCTCTTTAGCATACTGAGCTATACATTGTCAGCACATAAACTGAGTTACTGAGTTACAAATTTTTTCAGAGGTGAGTCTGAGCGTGCGGCGCGGTTCTAAGAGTCAGCACAGTAACTCAGCACAGTGCTGAGTTACCCACTACTAGGTGGAAGTATTTTTTGCGCAGAACTTTTTTTTTTTTATGGCGACCTTTGGCGCTAGGGATTATAACCCTTACTAAGTAGAAGTAATTCATATTAGAAAAAAACGAAATTATCCATATGCACACTTTCGTTTCAAAACCGAAATAATGCATATGTGAAAGACGAAGTAAAGCATACATGCACAGTTTCGGTTGAAAACAGAAATAATGCATATGAAAAACCCGAAGTAATACATACATGCACAGTTTCGGTTGAAAACCTAAATAATGCATATGAGAAAATACCGGAATTATGCATATCGTCGTTTAAAGTACAAAACCGCGTATCGTCATTCTGCAAAACCGCGTAACTGACATTGGCTGTCAAAAACTGGATTTCCTCACACAAGCTCTTGGCTCAATCCTTATCCATTCGTCCTGAAATATAATAGCCAGAAAAGAGAGAACCATTTTGAAACATGAGTGTTTTTACGCTCTAGAAAATAATTTCCACAACTTCACATACGCGGTTTTGCATTTTGCTGATACGCGGTTTTGCATTTTGTTGATACGCGGTTTTGCACTTTAAACGACGATATGCATACTTTCGTTTTAAAAGCGAAATAATGCATATAAAAAAACAAAAGGGAAGTAATGCATGTTGTCGCTCTCCCTCGGATGGTATATACACATGCTATTTCGCTAGCTACATCAGCTACATCACCAATAATACACGAAATTCACAGCGACATGCTTTGGGCAGATTAGAGAATTTAGGATATTTTAACTTTTGACAGTTCTTGCTACATACCACAGCCACACCATTCTGGTTAGCCAGTTACACAACCGTCGATTCAGTTGACGCTACATTTTGAACACTTGCATCCATAGAAACATTATCATGCTTTGGCGTAGAAAATTGTCTTGAAGATTGAACTGCCACAAAATCACTCACTGATTTCGCAAGCCCGGAAATTATATTCCGCATATCCCCCATTTGCTTTTGCAGAATTAAAATTTCACTATTTTCTTCTTCGAGCTCCTCGCTTTCAATCTCGCCAGTACCCCACCTCCGTTTGATGATAAATTTGTTACGAAGTAACATTGCTTATCGGAACGCTCTAAGTACTGCCGCAGAAAAGTTGCTTTTTGCACAAAAACACCCCTGGTCTTGTCGCTGTATCGCACCGGGGTGAATTTACATTTCCAATCAATTTGCTTGTGTCTAAAGGTAAACAAAGGAAAAGCAATTATTTATTTCCCAAATTTATCAATTGGTTTTATGTAAATATCTTTATTTTAGGTACATAGCAAGGTGAAAGTTTCATAATGATTTGACCACCCCACATTAGGGCATCTTAGATGGAATTCAAGAGCTCCATATTTGTACTGTGCCCTAGATTAGCATCTTACTTGCATTGCAAAATATATCACATATATCGCTGAATAAATATGTATAACACACCGAATAAGAGAAAAATTATACTTAAATTATAAATTAATTCAATTCTATTGCAAAACGTATACAAATTCACGATTTTGTTTTGGGTTCCTTACGCAATAATAATGCTCTCAGTGATGCATTTTATGGTTACGTAAATCTTGGATGATTAGCTTCAAGCAACTTAAAGTATTTTAGCTGAAGTGAAATATCTTCTTACTGCTCTTGTTAAATAAAAAAATTGTTAAATTCGAGAACAATAAAATAGAATCATGTATGGAATGAAGAAAATAAATATTTATTTATTCCTATCACGAATATCCTGTCGGAATCAAATGATGAGTAATCAAATGCATACAACTTGTACTTTTAGCTAAGTGTTTGGCCAATCTTCTCCAATTTGTGGGTCGTGACTTGACTTTTTATGTATTTGTATGATAATATTTTTCAAGACAGAAATACAAGCGGACGTTTGCCATTGCCAGTCGAGGGGCAACCGCTGTCTATGTAGAAGAAAAAACATTTATATTTTGAAATGTTACGAATTCACGTCGGCAACTTTCGATAGTGATCAGAACATTTAAGGTAACTCGTTACAAAGTAGAAATGCCGTTATTTTCTTAATATTTCTTTTGAATTTTAAGTCGCTAATTTGGACTTTTTTTGCAAATTTTATCACTAACATACGAATCTATTAGTGATTAAAAATATGCTCACAGTTTCAGTCAATATACATGTAGGATTATTATACATATTAGAACTGTTTATTTATTCAATAAATATGTTACATTAGGTATAATTTTAATAAATATTAATTAAATAGTTCACATTAGGTTTTAATATCTTAATGAATGTTAATTAAATAGTTTTACGCATCTTGTGATACTGCTCACCCCAGGTTTAAACTGCAACTACCTGTACTTCGTCCAACAAGCGTCTCGTCTAGTTCGTCAAGTTAAGGATTCGTACGTTAAGACCGCAGGGCTGCAATTCAATGTAATTTGTTCGTCCACTTCTGTAGTTAGTATGTTCGTCCGCTTCTAGTTGCACGTCCGTTCCTCACTCCCACATTCGGCCGTCCTGATAAGTCGTTCGACCCGAACGATGGGTCCCAAGCTTTCATGTATTCAACTACCGTTGTTGTTTTATGCGGTCCTTCATCCACCTTCTCAACTACGTATCGTCCGTGTGGTAAGCGTTGTTGTATTGAATATGGTCTCAGAAACTTAGGTTTGAGTTTTAAACCCGGCCCATATTGAGCCCTTTTAATAGCAACCAAGTCACCAGTATTGTATTCGTTTTCCTGTTTGCGTTTGGAGTTAAAAGTTTTCTTGTTCTCCTCTTGTATCCTAGAGATGTTTTCTGACGCTTTCTTCCTAATACTGTCACGCTCAATTTCTAGCTCCTCAACTATTCTTATCTAATAATTCCTGAAGTTCTATATCAGCAGGTGTTCGCATGTCTAATCCAGTCAATATTTTAAAGGGTGCCGACCCAGTGCTCCTTGAAGGTGAATTATTAATTAGGCGTTGGACTTTGTCAACGTGTTTGTACCATTTTGTCGGGTTGTTATTACATAATTTAGTTAAGAGTGCAAGTATAATGCGATGGATACGTTCCACCTGTCCGTTTCCACGGGGAACGCCTGTGGCAAGAAGGAGGTGCTGAATATTTTCCCTACTACAGTATTCTTCAAAACTCTTGGCGGTGAAAGCCGTACCTCGATCTGTAATGATCCTTTTATGGTTACGTTACCAAATACCGCAGCCTGTCTCTCAAGTCGATCTACTACATTTGCAGCATCTGTACTTCTAGTAGGATACAACCACACAAATTTGCTAAATGCGTCTACCACTACAAGCAAGTGGTGGTATTTTCTATGTGTCTGTTCCATTGGGCCGACGTGGTCCAGATGATATGTCGCCAGTGGTTTGTCTTCTTTATCTATTGGGGATAATAAACCTTCCTTCTTGCCTGTCTTTGCTTCCCCAATTATACATTCGATACAACTTTTTAATATTTTTACTATTTTGGGTCCTATATTCGGTATATAAAATGATTTTTCTATATAATCTTGAGTCTTTTTTGTTGACCAGTGCCCCTCTCGGTGTGTCATGCGGATTATTTCTTCCTCCATTACTTGTGGAACTACTAATCTTTCACCGGATCTTTGTATAACACCCCATTCTTCAAATAAAAGTCTTCATATATAACGTTCTCTAAAACTTTAGATATTGCCCTAGCCCAATCGTCACTTTGCTGTGCTGCTTTTAGACGAAAGCTTAAGGAATCTTCTAGTAGCATGCTTGACATTCTGCTTAGCTCGTCAACGTGCTTCATCTTTGTCGCGGCTCTGTGCTCTATAAAGTAATCAAAGTATTGCAGGTACATAACCCAGCGAGTGACACGTAGTGGAACGTCTTTCTTTTTCATAGTTAATGCAAAAGCATTACAATCAGTGACGATCTTAATCTTTTTCCAGATGACATAAATTCACCACTTTTTCAACGCCTCTATGATAGCAAGTACTTCCAATTCATATGAATTATTTTTTTGCTTCTCAGGTCTAGTTTTGCGACTTAGATATTGAATAGGATGAAACTGTTGGTCGCCGACATCTTTTTGCAAGAGCACACCACCATAACCATACATATAAGCATCCGTATGTATCTCTGTTTCCGCATTCGGTTGGTAAAGTTTTAAAACCGGAGCTTCGACAAGTGCTAATTTGAGCTCTTGAAACGCCAAAAGCTATTCTTCATTGAATCGATATTCACTATCTTTCCTAAGTAAATCGCTTAGTGGCTTTGCTATTTACGCATAACTTTCTACAAATCTTCTAAAATAAGATGTTAGGCCTAAAAATCTTTGTAGCGATTTCTTGTCACGAGGAATTGGAAACGAATTTACTGCTGTTACTTTTTCTTGTGAGGGTCGGATACCCCCCTCCTCAATAATGTATCCCAGGATCCCTTTCATTAAAAATTTACATTTTTGCCACTTTATTTTCAACCCATAACTTTCCGCTCTTTGCAAAACAATTCGCAACTTCTCCAACCCGCCATCCTCATCTTGTGCCGGAATGATAATGTCGTCCATGTATACCACGATCACCCCACCCTGAACTAAGTCGCGAAAAATAGCGGAAATGTATCGACAAAAGAGGGCGGGTGAATTGGAGATTCCAAAAGGCACAAAATTAAATTCAAATTGGCCGCTATGTGTCACAAATGAGGTATATCGCCTGGAACTAGGTTCCACCGCCACGTGAAAAAAACCGTTGGCTGAGTCAAGCGTTATGAAAATCTTTGCTCCTTGGAGACGTTCTAGGACGTCGTCAATGAGTGGCATTGGGAAATTATCCCGAACTACTTTCTCATTCCACTTTCTAAAGTCTCAGCATAGTCTCTTTGTGCCATCTTTTTTCGGCACCAGAACTACCGGCGAAGCATACTCAGAATTGCTTGGCTGGACTATACCATCCTTTAGCCAATTGCTAACTTGATCATCTATGACGCGCTGATCCGCATACGAAACCCTGCGCGGAGTTTGGTATATAGGTACGTCATCAGCCAAAATTATTGTCATTTGAACCGGGGATTCGGAGTTCGGTTTTGGAGTATACTGTCTAACCATAGAGTATAAAGCAGACTGCTTTTCAACAGATAAGTGCGTTATGTTCAAAGGAGGAAACTCCTCGTCGTCGTTTAAAGAATTTTGTAAGCACAGAGCTGGGAATTCACGCAAAAGATAATTCTGGTTTTTATCTTCTTTGTTATCGAAAGGAACAGGTATTATGCCTCCTACCTCGGTACTATTTACCTCAACGTCTTTATGATCTTTGCTTGTAAACATAGCTACGCCTTCTGCAAATGATATATTTGCTACCTTTAGGATATCGTTCCCGATAACTGCTTCGTAACGTAAGTCATTGCTTCTGGTTACATGAAAAGTTACTTCGACCGCGATATTATCTACTCTAGTTTCCTTAGTTACACCCCCTATTGTGTTTAGTTCGCTTTCTTTTATACCCACCAAACGTCGTTTGTCACTGCTTAATTGCGGATACCTTAGCTTTCTAAAAACGTCATATCTTAGTAGGCTCAAATCGGATCCTGTGTCCACCCTTGCGTCGACTACGATATCACCAAACTTGATACGCTTAAAAATCAAACCGCTGGTCGTATTCCAAGGTGAGTCAAACATGGCATTAACCGCGACTTACTCTTTTTTTATTTGCTTGCCTATATCTTTCTTACACTCGTAACTTCGGTGCCCTGGTTCCCCACATTTGAACACTTATATTGCTTATCTTTATTATTGCAATTTTTGTCACTAACTTGCGAAGCTGAACCCTTCGAAGTGTTTGGTGCATATTGCGACCTGTTTAACGACTGCCGCGAAAAATGCACCTTCTCATATATTTTTAAATTCTCTTTCAGATCTTTTATTGTTTGTGCCTGGTATAAAATAGTTTAGTTCGGTCTAGAATCGGGAATTCCTTCGACGAAATACCCTATTAGACTAACCTCGTCCATCTGTACTGGCTTTGCAATTTCCATGAGCGTATATAAATATTCTTTAAAAGATTCATTGTTCTTTTTACGCCTATTTTTCAGCATGTGATGAATATCTAATAACGATAATTTTTTACCAAACTCGTCAATTAATGCGAGTTTTTGCGAATCCCAATCCCTAACACCGGCTTGACTGCGCAAAAATAACTTGGCTGCTCCTTTCAAAAGCTGTTTGGCATACACATATTTTTGAAGTCCGTTCCATCCTAATGTAATGGCATGGTCCTCAAACTCCCTTATCCAGTCATGTACGTCTAACGTGTCAGTCCCAGTGAACGACGGTAAACTGTCTTGTATGTCCTTTAATGTAAAAGCAGGTCTCATCATTACCGTCTGAGGTAACGGATCTGCGGGTACCTCATATGTACGTTGATTCATTTTCGCTTTCCTCGCCTTCACTCTACAAAAGCTGGTGATGTCGCAGAAGTCTGTCCCTTAGTTCACTTTTCCGTCCTTGTACACTTAGTCCCTTACGTCTTAAATTGTCTTTCAATGTTTCTACGGTCATACTCAAAATAGTTTGGGCGTCCATGGTCTTACAAATTGTACAACTATCAGCTTTAAATTTATGATGTGGACTTATAAACTAGTTGTATTATAAGTGAAATAATATCATCATCAAAGTTATATGAATGATTAAATTTGGTTTGTTTGCTTATTACTATTTTGACCGATTCTATGTTAATGCATGCAAGTCTAAAGAAATTGTGTTTACAAATAAAAGTTAGCAAATTACATGGATAAACATAAAAGTTTTAAATCTATATTTTGACTGCTCTCTCTTACTAAATATTGCTGCTTTCTTTGGGCGATTTAATACCGCGTTGTTACTGTTCGTTTCACTGTTGACGTTCTTGATGAGCTATAGTTGTACTGCAATCGCTGCTATTCCACTTTTCTGGATAAAACTTACGCCTGTTGTTTCATTACGTGGTGTAGCTATGTTTTATTTTATTGCGTAACGACTGTTTCTATTTCATTGTATTTGTGCTATTTTCAAGTGAATGTACACAGTTTTTGCTTCAAACTTCCACTGTTTATGTATTATGTTGTTTAGCTCACACTATTACGCTACATATCGCACACCATCTTCAAAAGAGTCACTACCCAAAATTCGGCATTTTTGAATGTCACTGTTGTATGCCTTCTTTCATGTAATTTTATACCACAAAACGGCAACGCTGACTAAAACTCTTGTTGGTTACTTCGCTCTTTTTGTATATACAGTGAAACCTCCCTTGGGCGGACACTCACCGTCAGTCATTTTTTGTCCGCCCAAGAGAGGTCTCCGCTCAATGGAAGGGAAGCTTAAAACAAGCTTTTAACTACTTTTTAATGTTTTAATTAATTGAATAGTCACTATTTTTTATTTGAATAAAAGATATTAATATTACATCGTTCAAAAATGTGCATGTATTTTTTCAAAAGTGCATATTTCATTTATGTGCGTAAGGTCATATTAAGTAATAACAAAATAAAAATAAATATTACATTTCAGTCCATATATTACATAAAACCATAGATTCATTACATAAAAAACTGAGAATTGTCGAGCTTTATTTTTAATTTTTTTCAGTGTCAGTACCTTTTTCATCAATAGTTTTCATGTTTTTATCAGTAACAAAATCCAACCAGAAATCTAAATTTTCGGTCCATGTATTTATTATTATCTATTGTTATAAATTCATCAGAAGTGGAATTGCATTCTCCAAGGGTTTCTGATAATTCAAATAACGAACCTAAACCACTGTGCAAACCAAACTAAATGTGTGCATAAAAATCACATTTTATGCGAGAATTCCCCCTTTTCCATTTAGTAGTAGTAGTAGCCTATGAGGAGTTCGCGTCCGCTCAACGGAGGTTTTTTTTATTTGTTATGAAAATAAATCTTAATGCCCGTTGATAAGAGGTTCGCGTCCGCTCAATAGAGGTTTTTGTGTAAATTTTATGCAAAATAACTGTCCGCGTCCGGCCAAGAGAGTGTCCGCTTAAGAGAGAGTAATTTGTCCCGAAATTTATACCTAAAACTTGGTATAGGAAAAAATGTCCGCCCAAGGGAGATGTCCGTCTAATAGAGGTTTCCGTTAGGAGAGGTTTCACTCTATTGTTTTTACTGCTTTATCTCATACAATCACACATTTCTGCGATCGTGGTCTATGGCTGTTGCTTATCAATACGAAGCTCTTCGGCTTGCACTCTGGCCACTACTGTTGTCTTCTTCGTGGTATGTAGTTCTACTTCTATTTCGCTAATTTGCGATTGTGCACATACACACTCACAAATCACTGCTACTAACACCACTGTTGCTGTCTTCTTCGTGGTATGTAGTTCTACTTCTACTTCGCTAATTTGCGATTGTGCACCTATACTCTCACAACTCACTGCTACTAACAACACCCAAGAACGATAGAATACAAGATTGCGCATTCCCGAAGAATGACATTTGTGGCAACGGGTAAACAAAGAATATGGCGAAGAACAATGGGTTGACAGTTGTGAATTTGCAGTGAGAAAACGTGTTTTCTTCTCGATTCACCAATTTCTCAAACCATCTTTGAATATAGCAAATTAAGCACTACGTTAACAAAAAATATACAACCACTCTTGAAATGTGTTCAAAAGAATAGGTCTTATTAATTAACTATTTAGAATTTTTGTGTTTGTATTGCAGGTGCCGAAAAAGTGATAACATCTTGTCGCAGCGCATGTTTTGCTGCAGAAAGTGTTCGATGCTTGCTTACCTCCGATTTTAATTTGTAATTTGTGGTATTTCAACGTTTTCAACTTAACATGTCGTGTTTAAAAGTGGTCCGTAAAGTGCTTCATGCATATTACGCTGGTGTCTAAATTTTATGGCTTCTTCTTCCGGCAGAACTCTACCCACTTTCTGGCCAAGGAGTCGTCGCGGGGAAACAAAAATAAAACTGCATTTGGGGGCTTTACCCCTGCAGCTGCTGCAATTCAACACACGACACGACATTTTTATAAAGTTTTTATTACAAATAAAACGTTTTTTACTTCAGAACACACGAATTACTTCGATTTTTCACTTGAAAGTACACAATACGTTTGCAGTACGTTTGCACTTGTTTCTAAACAAAAAGTTTGTTTATGTATTGCCATAAATGTCAAAGTCGGCAAAACCAAAGTAGCGGTTCCGGGAATGCGCCACCTTCAGTTCATTTCACCATGAACACCACTGTTGCTGTCTTCTTTGGTATGTAGTTCTACTTCTGCTTCGCTAATTTGCGATTGTGCACATATACACTCATAAATCACTGCAACTAACACCACCGCTGCTGTCTTCTTCGTGGTATGTACTCAGTGTTGCCAAACATGGGCTTTTCCTACCAAAACTGGTAGGTTTTTTTTCCATTTGGTAGATTGGTAGGCTAGATTGGATTTTGGTAGGTTTCGCGAGAATAATAGTTATTTGCGAAAAATATAAAATACTAGCAGACCCGGTGAACTTCGTCCCGCCCAAAATTTTTATGTATTTTATTGAAACTTTTTGGTCCAACATTCTCACCAACAATTCACGTTTACGAATTTCATTGGCACATTTGAAAAATTCGGTTTGTATGGAAGATGCCACGCCCCCTTTTCCAATAGTTCCAATTTTTCTCCAAGAGTATGCGATTTATTTCGTACATCTCCATACAAAACTCTAGAACTCTACCAAAAAATTTCCAGAGATAAGCAGTATGAAAAATTCGGTTTATATGGGAGATGTCAAACCCCTTTTTACAATAGCTAAAATTTTTCTCCAAGGGTATGCGATTGATTTCGTATATCTCCATACCAATTTCCAAAACTCTACCACGCACACTTTCAGAGATATGTAGCATGAGAAATTCGGTTTGTATGGGAAGTGCCACGCACCCTTTACATATAGATTTTTTTCAGCCTAAAACCATCCTTGGGACACGTGCGGCAGGTGGCAGTTTCAAAAAAATCGGATCAGCCGCTCTCGAGCCTTGCGAAAACTAACAAACGGTTCTAAATATATATTAGTTGAGATACATTATATATTATAATTATATTTTGACAGTATCCGTTGTTTCTGATTGGCGCAAAAAAAGCTATTTATATTCGAAATTGCATGAAAATTGGAAAACAGGAATCTATAAGCTTATCCAGGCAAAAAGCCACCTACGTACCGAATTTTAAGCAAATCGGACCATAAATACGATTTCTTCGAACAGATCGGTCCCTGGTCCACTTCTCGGACAAAATGGATCATATATGCTAATATATGCTAAAAAGCTACCTGCGTACGGAATTTTAAGCAAATCGGACCGTAAATACGATTTTTTCTAATAGATCGGTCCCTGGTCCACTTCTCGGAAAAATTGATCACTTATGCTAATACATGCTAAAAAGCTACCCGCGCACCGAATTTTAAGCAAATCGGACCGTAAATTCGATTTTTTCGAATAGATCGGTCCCTGGACCACTTCTCGGAAAAAATGGGTCATATATGCTAATATATGCTAAAAAGCTACTTAAGTACTAAATTTTATGCAAATCGGACTATAATAAGATTTTTTCGAATAGACCGGTCCGTGGTCCACCTACCCGAAAAAAAGTAAAATTTTTTTAGCCTAAAACATGGTGGTTACTGAAAGC